TTATTTTATAGAACCAAAAAATTACTTGGTGGGATTTCTTAGTTGACTAAATGTTAATTCAACATATTTTTACTTTAAAAAAAACAAACCAGACCAAATTGCAACATTTGAGAGACATTATTTAGGTTTTAAAATAACAGAAAACAACAACATTTGCCTGAGACATTTAAAAAAAACAAAAAAGTCCACATTACAACATTTGTGGAACATGACTTTTTTGTAAAAGTATAACATAGAGGGCTTACAGGATTAATTCAATAGCAAATCTATCCCAACAATGGACAGTTGACTACAACCTCCTAAGTAAATTGTGATTATTCATATTTCAACCTGAATAGAAGAGAATGTTTGAATGGGCTTCACAAGACATTTCTCACTCACTAAAAATTCAGTTGGGTTCATAAAACTTTCCAAGGCAGTGTAAAATAATTTTTAAAAAAATGCAGAGAATTCTTTTATGGAATAAGAATAATCTAATAGCAAGCACATATTAAAAAGTAAAAATGATCTATTTTGTTTCTATGGAAAGTTTTGGGGTAGTTAAAAAAAAAAAAAAAAAAGGTTTTAATATTCTTTGCTGCGAATTTTAAAAAGCTAGTCAGCAGGCAGAGCTCTCTTTTCTCATGCCAAGCAAACACTGAGCTGATCTGTGCAGGCGGAAGTCGAGGGAATTTAAGAGTAGCCGGTGTGGTGTGTGTCGGGGACAGCAGTGTACTAGGTGTGTGTAAATCAGAGAGGGTTTGCTAGCTTTTAATATTCTTTGCTGCGTATTTTCATAAGCTAGTCAGCAGGCAGAGCTCTCTTTTCTCATGCCAAGCAAACACTGAGCTGATCTGTGCAGGCGGAAGTCGAGGGAATTTAAGAGTAGCCGGTGTGGTGTGTGTCGGGGACAGCAGTGTACTAGGTGTGTGTAAATCAGAGAGGGTTTGCTAGCCTGCGGGCGGTCCGGTTTGGGGGCAGTAGGAAGTATCTGCACTATGCATCTCGCCAGCTCACTAAGCCCTGCGAGTATTCATTCAGTTCTGATCCAAGGAAAACAGATTACAGATCTTGTTATCTTTCTCTGCCTGCCACAATTATTCCCCCTGTGCTATCAGAGGTAAAATCATCCCTTTTGACACACACTTTGCCCTCGATGGGCACTCAAAATAACATAGCAATGCAAACCAGACCAACGTGCTGGAAAAAATGGAAGGGGTGTGAAAAAGAACAGACAGATGTAAAAATAAAAGGGCACGGGAATGAACGGAGACCTGGAGAAAGTGAAAGAGACGGGAGAATGGAAGAACAAAGGTGAGGCTGAAATTAATGGCTCTTTTACACAGAGAATGGTGACAAAGACAATGGCAATGAAAAAGAGGATGTACCTAAATGGTTGAAGATAATAGGCAGCTTTTGCGTAGGCTGAACTAGTAACGTGTGTGCGCGGACCTTCGGCCAACCACTGATAAAACTCCAGCTGAGGGCTGCAGGGGTCTGATTTCATTCATCCAAGGCTGGTAGCTGAGAGTTGATGAGTTCGGCTCACAGGTCGGCATGGATAGTCTTTCTGTGGCGAGATTTGCACTGTTTTTCTTGGTCTGAAGCAGCATCTCATTGGCCCCGTGCAGCAGGTTATCTGTAGCAGTGAATCACTGTCCTTCAGATTATCACTTCAAAACTCACTTCTCCATGAAGACTTTGATGTGGATTTGCTTTTTTGCTGCAGTATAGAGGCCAGGGAAGTACAGCGAGGCTATAGAATGGCCCACATTGCCTGCATGAGTGCTACGGCTTAAGGTGTCAGCGTTTGCACATTCCAGTTCTAGAGGGGATTTAAACACATTTAATATCTCAGTTGGTTCTCAAAGAAATTGAGATTTTCTCAGATATGTCTCCTGAGAAAAACACCCTGGTTTTCACACAATTGTCTTCACTAGATTTTAACATTCAAAGCTCAGATTTATCAAGATACCAAAATCTACAATCAAAAGTCAGATATTTCTATATGAACTCAAACTCTTTTCATTAAATTATTTCCAGTTTCCTCAAAATGCCTTGGTAATCACACAATTGTCTTCAAATTGTCTTCACAATTTTTCAAATATTTGATTAATCAAGATACTCTACAATCAAACGTCAGATTTCTATATGAACTCTACATGCTACTGTAACGAATCAGTCCACTGAAGGCGAGCGTAGTGAGAACCCAAGTGCAGTTTTATTCAAACAAGGTGAAATCCAAAATCCAAAATCCAAACATAATCCAAACAAGATACACAGACTTGACGAGGCATGAACAGATTTGACGAGGCACAAACCGACTAGACTCACCGACAGCGGGTTACAACTTCAATACACGACAAAAGACAATGGCAACATGAGGGCTACTTATAGCAGACAATGAGGGTCACATGACAAGAACAAACCAATGGGAAACAAGACACATGACTAGGACAACCAATCAGAACATGACACATACACAAGGCAGAGATACATGAGGGCAAGGGAAGCATGACACTGACAGCATGAAACTACTACAAAATAAAAGACATGGAAAACATGAACATGAAACAAAACCCAAACACCAAATCCCACATTACAGCTACATGTCAACCATTTTTATTTCTCTTAAAGATTTTAAGGGAAACATCTAAGTTGATCCATAAATAAAACAGCAGTAATTCACCTACAAAAAAGTACAAAAGTACTAAAGTATAAAAGTACAACCTTTGCAAATAAAAATTCCTCTAGGCTAGGGTGACCATATGTGCCATTTTCCCAGGACGCGTCCTGGCCAGGATTTCTATATTGCCTAAAATATCTAGGTTTTGGCTTTGTTTGCGTGTGCAGACCGATCGGTGTATGACATCCAAGTACCATACGATCCCACCTTCTCACACGCCATGATTGGTCCATTATGTACAATGCTTGCATGTTATTGGTCAAACTACTTTTCGATCATTACCTTCAGCAAGCATGAAAACAGGAAAACAAAGCCAAAACAAATCCTGGCCAGGACGCGTCCTGGGAAAATGGCACGTATGGTCACCCTACTCTAGGCTAACCGCTAGGCCATGACTCCAACCATGCTGTTGTTTCCTTGAGAAAATCTGAATAATTTTAGCACTGCTGAGATTTTCCTCAGTTGTGCTGCTCTATATCTATGCTGTTTGTTTGTTGTTTAGATCAACTTTAGCAGGAACCTTATTTGTATTCGCTGTGCATACATTCATTAACGCACTGCGTCGAGCTTCAATCAGTCATGTGTGGCCTGGTGTCTGTGTATGTGGTGCATGTGTGTGGATGTAAGCATTGACTAATGCAAAGGAGAGTTGTGACAATAACGATTAGAGCCGACCCTGTCCCTAATGTATCTCCCACACAGAGTGAATATAGAATTAGGAACAGTCTTGAAACACTGCAGACAATGTCCAGTGTTTCAATGAGCACAAAACATAACAGATTCCTTCATTCCTATCTATCTATCTATCTATCTATCTAAGTAAGATTAAGGTTGGTGATATATATATATATTACTGTTCTTGAAAGACGTTTTTTATGCACACCAGGTCTGCATTTATTTGATCAAAACAAAAACAGTAATATTATGAAATATCATTACATTTAAAAACATCTGTGTTCTATTTCAGTATTTTAAAATGTAATTTAATCCTGTGATGGGATTAAAGCCACTACTCCAGTCTTCAGTGTCACATGATCCTTTAGAAAATAATTATATTATTAATATATAATTTAAAATATTATTAAAATATCATTCTTACTGAATGATAGTGTTTGTATTATATAATATACACACACTGAAAATAAGGTTTTTTTTCAATTTTGCATATGTGAGGATGCATACGCCAGGTTAGTGTATGAGACTCTGTCTTCTATATCCAACTTGTTGTTGTTGGTAATGTATACGGTATTTTGAAGCTGAGAATATCTCGAGGTGATTCATTTCCTAGCCGAGGAGAAAAGCTATTTCAAACAGCATTATAGAGCTGGCATGTCCTAGCAGCTGCTGTCAGGAGACATCTCATGCCACCAGTGTAGCTAACGACTCCCATATCTCTGTCTTTTCAGCCCCTGTATCACCCAGTCCAAAGTCCCACTCCATTCTCCTCGCCTACAGGAATGCAATTTAGTAGCCTGCAACAAAAAGTGGATTAGGTTTGGGAAGGAAACCCTATGTCTGTACTGGCACTTTAAGCTTGATTTTCTGCCTGATTGCAGCTCTCTGAATGAACCAATGATTGAATGAATGTTTCAGAGACAGATTGGAGGGAAAGAAAGAGAGTAACATTTACATTTCATGATCTAAATGGAAGAATTGCAGGCGTAAGCACAAAAAAAAAATACTGATAAAACAGTAGTGAAATCAGGAGCAGATTTTTGGACGCCTAGCTCATCCCAACCATATGGTTTAAGATTTTCAGTCGACTGCAGAATGTTCAATAAAACTATTTTTTATCCGCTACTCCTGCATAATGTGGAATCTCAGATTTATGCTTTTGTAAAGTTGTAGCAATTACCCACAACGCCTCACTCATGTCTGTCACAAACATTCAAATTGCCTTCATTTTCAAATGATTTACATAAAGTGGGATCGATATCCCTGAACGCATGGAGATGACAAGCAAATCGCGCTCCTCGCTGCAATACCAAACCTCATGCTCTTCCCATAATGCAGCGCAGCTTTTGCATACTGTCCCAGCCCCAGGCTGTGTGCAAACAAACAGACATAAAAATACACTCGGAGACATTCCAAAACAGCTGCACCATATGAGTCTGGACTGGACCGCTGTGAGGCTGAAAGGCAGCCCTTTGGGTGCGGAGTGCATCAGAGAGATACAAAGGGGGTGGCTGCTTTGAAGAGCTGATCTCTTTAACCACGTTAGACACAGCGGCCTTTCATTCTGCCCATTTTATTATGACATCCTGGCACCATTATCCGCTCTCATGTCACTCTCTCCCATCTCGGCATGCGATTCGAGTGCGTTCCGCCACTCTGTGACGGATTCTCGTCTCTGTGTGTTGATCCTGATGGATCATGACCAGTGTTGGGCAAGTTACTTCCAAAATGTAATACATTATATATTACTAGTTACTGTCTTTTGAAAGTAATTAGTTACATTACAATATTACTGTCTCTGAATTGTAATGCATTACACTACTTTTGAGTTACTTTTGAGTTACTTTCATCCAAAATATCCACATAAGTATTGTAAAATGCCAAAATGTAGTTTATTGCAGCTCATTCTACACCCAGTGGAGGGTAATGTGGTAGGTCTATATAGCATAAAATATGAAATCATATTTAGATACCGGTATGTAGGTCTACATGAATGTTACGTTGTAGTTTAGGTTAAAAAACATAAGCACAAATACTTTTGTAATGCGTTACTCCCAACACTGATCATGACACGCAAGAACAACACACAATCAGCCGGGAAGAGCAGTCAAGATTGCATTATGAGCATATTTTGGGGTGGGCAAATGGAATCAAATCACTTGAGCTGCTGAGGGACAGTTTAAAACGAACCAGCCTTTCTCCCCTCTCCTTTTCGCTTGCATTGTCCCCTTTATATCACCAGATTAGTTTCTGTAAAAGGATCTCCTAATCTTCTAAGCCTGAACATCGCGGTGTGCTGGTGGGGTGTCTTTGCTGCGTGGCCAGCCGTGCCCAAATGTGTGCTGACGAGCTAAAAGAGAGCAGGGAGATGCCTTTAAAGAGCTGCCTGCATTGCCCATTCTCATTTAAATGCCCTCTGGTCCGAGCACGGCCTGGCTTTAGGGGTTCCCACGGCAACCCTGATTCTGAGCTTTTTTGGAGAAGATTTTGGAATACTTACCCTGGGTGAAGGAAAGACAGATATTTCTGCAGTTGCTCTTTTCTTCCCAGCTGGGGTTGTTTGAGATTTTGACAACTCAATGAGCTCATGGCGGGGTCCAACCGATGGGGAGATTGGCTACAGATGAGGCTGAAAAGTGGAGGCTGTCAGTGTGGATTCGTGAGTCGCCTGTCTGCTCCCACTGACATGCGACATTACTTCCACTGCAGCTACCCGCACTGACAACATCACACCGGCAATGTGACAAGAAGGATGCTTGAACGTCCATAAGCACAAACATATACCTATATATATGGACAAATACAGCCAAATCAACTGTGACTTGACTTGCCTCATGAAGACCTGCTGTGAGTTGACTTGACTCAGGGTAATCAACTGTGACTTGACTATTCGTGACAATACCAATTAAAATTAAGTAAAATCCACCTGCAAGCCGAGCACAGTGCTACTGCTGTGGATGACAGATAACTTCAGCTAAGTAATGACAAATAATACAACAGTTCATAAAAAGAAAAGTGCAGTAATTAATTAGGACCAACCCAATAATGCAGTGCATTATTTTTTAAAGTAACATTCCCCAACACTGCATATGGATTCACATACTCGCTCACACAAGCAAGGATCATCAAATACACATCAGATCAGCAAGCAGTAAAATCATTCTAAGTGCTGACAGCTGAAAGCTCTGCGCTTCTGGGATGCTCCTAAAAGAAGCTGTAAATTTGGGGCTAGGACGGGCCAAAAACTTAGTGCTGCTCTTTTATCCGGACTGATTCTGCATCTCTCACCATTTTCTCGCGCACACAAACAGACAGAAGATGCTGAGCCTTGATGACGGTACAAAGTAAAGCCATCAGCACACTAGTTCATTCAGGATTATGGGCTCATTGGCACTGGATGGGCGAATGACGTTCTGGGTGGCTCACAGGGAGAAACTTTGTAATTCCTGGGGATTTTTTTTCCCTCTATTTCTGGTTCAGAACAATATGGCACTTCAGTTGTGTTTCAATACACAATGGAATGGCCCAACATTAGGAAATCCAATCATGTGGAACATCCCCTTGCCCCTTCAGTGTGTGTCTATAGGTGGATCATTGAGACTGTATCCACAGGCCTGAATTGTATGGATGAATGGCTCTACATGAGTAGTAATTGACAGATTGATGGCACTTAAGTGATACTGACAGTGTGTATATATATGTGTGTGTGTGTGTGTGTGTATGTGTGTGCTTGTGAGAAAAGTCATGGGTCACTGGGACAAGATACCAGCTGACCAGATAAAGTGCAGTGTGTCCACATAGATCCTACCACAATGCCATGGCCTGACCTGTCTACCTCCTTTTTCCAGAACAGAAATCCAACAAAGGCAAATCAGAGAGGTCCCAGACTTAATGAACACTGTCTTCAGGACAGAATGGCCTGCTTTGTGCAAGTACACAGCAATAATTCAATGCAGCATGACCTCTGACCTCACCCCTAATGGTAGTGTAATGA